GCCGTTACGCAGTAAGCTTTGGAACGCAATGAAGTACCACGATTACTTTTTGTTTTGTGAGATATCATTTGTGACTAAACTCATCTGACCGCTAATGATTTGGGATTCCCAATTAATGAAAAATCCGTGGAGAAAATGTTCCATTGATAACGACATCTGTGATAGGCGTTATTATCCATTTCTGGGTATCATTCAAGACATTGATTGTCAATCAGTTAAGACATCAATGTGACACAATTTCGAGATGAAGAGCAATGAATCGAGACCTCTAATTAACATATAATTAATTACGATACAGAAAAAATCGCTCCTACTTGGAGCTGATACTGAGGGTGTAGAGCTTTCAAAGAAAAAGGGAAATCCGAAGTGATATTTACGCACAGCAGATTTCTTACAGAAAGGAAAAGCGCCCGGAGAAGCCGGGCGACATCATAAGAAGGAGGGAAGCCCGGGCGGCCCGACTGGTTTACAGGATAAGCAGCCAAGCAAATATCTTTTTGCCACCACCATTAGGTTCACTTTTCGATTTTTTTTGCCGTTTCAAAAGTATAGGATCAGTCTCGGCAGCACGAAGGTCTCGAAATCTAGTACAGCAGAGTTTGCACTTGGAGGGTCTGTATACGAGAGAGTGTGTCGCAAATGTTTTGAAGCAATATGCACTTTGCCTCGCGGAGGTCATCCTTTTTTGAACGAAAAAGCACAAATTCGAAATTTTTGTGATACAATGCTCAGTACGACGGCAATTACGAGGTGAATCGTGAGATCCCTCAGCTCCGTTAAGAGATATTTTAAGAAGTGGTGAATGCTAGGAACTATTTCGGACAAAAGGTTGTCGTCGAACAGAGTTCGATCGGAGTTGGGTCTCTCAGTGTTCAAAAATACTGAATGGTGAGACTCCTTCAATCATAAATGGAAGAGATCTCGATGGAAAGAAAGTTAATTCGGAAGGCCCCGATGGTTACAACTACTACTGGCATGACTTACGAAAAGAGCCGATCAACTCTAGTTGTCGCTTTTTCGGAGGAGGAAGTGTCATGGTGCGTGGTGCCTTCTGCAAAGAGGTCGGGCTGGAGGTTGCTTCCATGACCTCCAAAATGGACTCAAAGGGCTTTCAGGAAGTCTTACAGTGACACCTGGTGCCATTTTCGAGCCAGCGACGTGGTCCTAACTACGGAGAGTACTGTGATCCACGTTAGCCATTCCACGAAAGACTGTTTCCTTTCCCAAAATTTGAAGCCCTGACATGTTTAGCTTGCAGCCCCGGTCTGAACCCAACGAAGAATCTGTGAGGCATCATTGTAAAAAAGATTTACGCGAACAACCGTCGGTTCTAGAGAATAGAAGAGCTCAATCAGGCGATACTTGAATATTGGGATGAAATTTCCGGCGAAGTCTTTCGAAACCTTGTTTCGTGTGTGCCATGTGGGCTATTCGATATTGGGTTGGAACAAGGAAGACCCATCGAATACTAGATGTTTTTTTGTCGTTACTAATGATAATTGTTACATGCTCTCAAAGTGGTCTTATACTTATGAAATTATGAAACAAAAATTCAAAAATTATTTATAAAAAGGTTATGGTAGAAGTTGATTCAAAAAACGTCCGTGCATTGGAGTTATTTAGAGTGGTGAATCTGATAGTGGTGCTCAAGTCTTATCTGCTTGGCTGCTCATCCTGTAAACACCAAATTTGAGGGTGATCTTATACTTATGGAACGCACTGTATGTGCAGCTATTTCGCCTACCAGTGCTCATGCTTGCCATGAAAGCTCGTCTCTGTCGCTTTCGCAAATCCGTAGTTGCTCTGCCCGTTATCCTACCGCTTTTAGAGGATCATACCCTCAAGCAGCGACTGCTTTCAGTGAAGGGCTCGTCAGTTACCTCCGTACGATCCGACTAAAGAGTATGACGCTTCACCCCTGACACCAACTATTAGAATTTGGCACGAACATCGTCAGTGCTTCAGCAGAGGTCATGCAGCTTTACGGCAAAGCAGTGTGGCAACAGAAACTTAATTTATGTATTTGGAGATAGAGAATGAAAAGGCATCCTATAAGAGAATTCATAGGAACAATATCTGGAACAGACGTTATACTAAAACACTCAAAAGGTATTCCGAAATTTCGACGAAAATAAAAAAGACTCGAATGAGAATTTTAACAAAATGGATGAATGAACGCTTACCTCCTTCTCATGCGTTTCCAGCAAGTATTTCGCTTTATCTCAATCGAGACGACGCTCAGCGCAGCCGTCGATCCACGGGGGAGGTTTTGCGAAATTCTGAATTGGAAATGAAGATAAATCAGATCAACAGACTAGAGAGTTTTGACACAAGCTGGGGAAAAGCATGCGCACAATTAGAATAGAGGGCAGACGAAACGATCCCGGCCAAATGCACCCCTCATGTCCGAGATCATTTCGTACAACCTTGAAATAAGTAGCGATAGAACTGTGTAATAGCTTGTAAGCGATTTCGTTCCGAAACGGACAGTGGAAAGTATCTCACGATCTCACGCTGGCCATTGACAACAATTTTATCAGTTCCAAACCGGAGACCGAAAGTTGGCTTTTTCTTCGAGACTGTCTGTTCCGAAGACATGTTTCGTTTTATTCTTTTTTGGCAAAAGAAACCGCTAGACACAGCCGTCCGCTTGTACATTGGAGGGTGCTAGGAACGTTATTATGTGGATGAGTTTGTGAAGAAGGCAAGAGCGGCTGTGACTAGCTGTTTCGTGATGGCTTAAAGGTTAGTGATGGCCAGTGCAGACTTGTGCGTGTGCCGAGCGACGAACTCAAGAGCGTCATGGGTGGCGTGAGTGAAGGATTGTCGCTTCCGTTGCATCGCCATCACGTGCTGCTGACGCAGCTCCCGATTGATCAGTGCGTAGAGCACAGGATTCGCTGCTGAGTTGAAGCAGACCTGAATGTGAAGGATTCTTCGCAACTGAAAGGATCTCTAGCTATTAAGGAAATGTTAGTTAGTTCGTGTCTATAACCAAAAACCGAAAGAAAAACCAAAGTCAAGAAAGCATCGCTTCTCCCCTTGGAAGTCCAGAGGACTCCCGTCTCGTGCAAGCAAATTATTCTCACTGGAAATGGTGACCACGAAAACTTAATGGGTAAAATAAGTCACTCGGTTTTCAGTCTCGACTCCAATGAAGGGAATAATGTTAGTATTTCAGCTAGGATGCACTTTTTGTTCTGCCGATTTAGTTCATGGCATACACTGATGTTAAAGGAACAGGTTGAAGCAAATGTCTTCCCAACCAGAATACTTTTAAGAACTGGCTGAGAAATATGAGTTGCCCAACTTGAAATGACGAGGGAAGGGAATTGGGCAGGTTTAGAGCAATCAAGGTAGTTCAGTGAGTGTATGTTTATTAGAGACCCTACATATTATGGGATCTTTTGGGCTTTCCTCCAGGGAGGGATCCCCACCACCCACACAGAGAGATAAGGATAAGGATAAGGATAAAGTTTCTGGCGTTAATCAATCCCTTCTGAGGAATGCGCCCCCGCACCCGGCTTCCATTCCCAGTTGTAGTGACGTAATGAGTGCGTATGTGGCCTATAAAATGACTTGAGGTGGCCAGCCGATGTAGAGTCAATGCTTTTATCCTCGTGGACGAGTCTTGCACCAATTAATAAATATAAATAAATAAATAAATAAAATATAAGTAAATATAAATATAAATAGCTGTATGGAGAACACTATTTGTATCGTCAAAAGTGAAGATGGCATCCAACTACAGCTTTTGACCAACTATTTACTTCTTTTACAATTAGAGACAATGATGAGGTTAGCAATCGAGCTGATTCTTGTATGTCGCAAGGTTCGATCATCGCAAAATTGTTCTGAGCCAATTCATCGAAGCCAAATGTTTGTGAGGGAAAGCGAAGCACTAGGGGGGAGGAATTCTCACTGATTGACAATGCGAGGTTGTTAGGTGGAACAATTCAAGTCAAGGGCCTAACGTTTCATTTCTATCGTCTTCTTCAGAGGCCTGAAGCAGATGATTTGCATAGTACCCGAACAGCGCATCACCCCAACCATCAACTTAGAACTCATTGTTGAAGCATAATTCACCAAGATTCCATCGCTCAAGCAAATAAAAATTCGCTATCGCGTGGGCGACTGTCAGTAGCGAATGAGACTTCTTCTNNNNTCTCCTTTATATTTGTGATAAGGAAGATCACTTTATAATGACAATGAGCCACAAGCTGCAGTGCGGTAGACACGGCAAAAGATCGTTCGTTATGGACGGGTACTGATCTCTACCGTTCATTTTAAGATATTTTTGGAAATCATAATAACATCATAAACAACTATGCTGAGGGTAGAGCAGGAGAGAAGGAGCGTTTTCACCGTGGTAATTTAGAGTTGTCTTGGGTAAAATAATGACAAAACTCACCAGTAAGTGTGCAACGAAAAACATAGCTGATAGAGCTGGTGTCATCCATGATACCTGAAAAATCCAACAAATCAGGAGCAGATATTTAGACAAAGTGACTCTGCAATAAAATTTCAGCTCGAATGGCTAACGCTTACGTGAATCATGTTGAACTGTGACATGATGTTCAACGTCCACTGTGGGGTCCAGCAAAGGAAATAGAAAAGAATGACGGCCACGATACGCTTCGTAACCTGAGAATTCTCTTTCATATATAAAGGATTTATTCTGATTCAATGTCTACTTCCATTCACTCTTGTTCCTCTCTATTTACCCATTGATGGCCGAACAGGGATTCCACTTTACCTCTACGCTAGGTTCGTCTGGGTAATTTCTATTGGTACTACTCTTAGAAGATACTGCAGTTATCATCTTGACAGCTTAACTCCGCATGTTTCGAAGTAAAAACTTCTTGATAGGGACTTTCTTTTGTACTCTTGAATGGAATCTGAACTAAAGTCACTACTTTTGGGGCCGAGGTGTTGGCTATCTAGGCAGTCATGGGTGAGTTCCCCTTTGAGAAGAGACATATCTTGAGGGACCTGTTGAGGTTTCTTCTTTTTTGAACAAGGGTATCCATGGGTCAAAAACAAAACATTCCCTCGGACTTCCTAATTCCGATTCAGTGATAGACTCAATTGATCAGTCTTAATTGATTCCTCATCGTATGTGGTCGGTTTCCTCACCTGTTGGACCCGTGTAGAAGTAGGATCTCTCCCTCCTTGAACAGTCGTTCGACCTCCGTGCATGTTTCGAGAAGATTTTTGTACTTTATGTATCACCTAAAATTGTATCCAAATATTGAGTGTTACTATTTTAAAAACTGTTGCACTTTTTACCCGAGAATAGAAAAGTGTGATAAGAACGGCAGGCAGTGCGAATCCAATCATGAATGTGTAGAGCGTGAACATTGCGTCAGAATCGAATACACACTTTGAAATTGTAGTTCCCTGCATATCTGGAAGGAGCAACAATCCACCTTTCCCTTGGTAGTTCGCTTATTCAGCAGATTTTGATGGATCCACTTCCGAAAAAGTGAAAAGCACCGTCATGGCTACATCAAAGTTGTCATACCTGATAGGCGCAGTTCCTCAGAATGTTCCAATAAAGGCATCATGCTCATTTTGTTGATTCTAAAAACGCTTGACTGAATCAACACCGGGAGCAGCAGAATAACGGCGAGAAGCGAGCACGTGAGAAGCACCAGTAAGGCCACGCAGTTGCTGCGAACCCTTAACAGAAAAAGAAAGTTCTATGTATATTGATACTATATCGGAGCTGTGGTTCAACGGGAGCTCTTCACATCCAAACCGAACCTTCAAACGTATGGGTACTCAAGAACGCTTGAGAGCGACCGATATCACGAAGTATCACCGGTTATCAACTTCCTAGCGTTAATAAAAGTCTTTTGATAAAGCATGGAAAACAACATACTTCACGTATGCGTTGGTTTGTCTGCCTTGCACTTCCGAGTGTATATTAGATCATTTCTTCGATCTTCCTCAAGCACGGAGTTGAGCGTGATGAAGAGAATCAAATGCCCGAATCATGTCGGTTCTGACTTGCCTTACTCGGTAGCGACTGCAGTAAGTCGATACGGATTCCAACTGGTTGATTAAGATTTTTCGTGAAATCGGTTGCAAGCTTGTGGTGAAAAAGGTCTCCACCATATGCGCCTCGATTCAAAAATCCTGCTCGTGGTTGCGTACGAACAACAAACAACAGTTTCTTCACTCGCGTATGGTTTCCAACTGAACGTTTAGATCACTACGCTTAACATCTTAATCGAGTAAACCCTTTTTGACAAAGTATCAGTGTGAATCATGAGACCAACATTCAAGTGAATAACTGGGGTTTGACGGCTGTCAAAGCAGTTACCATACTCGACCCACCATCAAGTCATGCAACACTTAAGAAATTTTTGTCTGTTACAAATACAAAACAATCATGTTTACGCTCACAAATGTCACCGGTCTGTTCCCACAGGATTAAAAAGTGACTACCCTAGCACTGTCCATTGAAACAATTCCCTCGACTATCCCGGAAGCTGAGAGCAGTGCGAAGTGCGAGCAACATCGTCGATCCGTAGAAACGGGGACTGCTTGAACAGTCAACAGTCCCTCCCTCAATGTCTCGTTCGCCCTCAGGGTGACCTAGGGCTGGCCTACCTTACTCAGTCAGATGTTCGTGTTGAACAGAGTGTTCAATGAAGCAAGAAAACTACATCCGGTAGGCTGGTAAAGGGCAGTGTGGACGTTCCATTGAGTGAGTCAAAGCTTTGTGGAAAAAGCATTTGATCGAATTACATGCATCCTTGCCTTAGTAAGGCATGTTCGTAGGCGGCTGAACGCCGCTGAAAGCATTACAGGAAACACATCAGCAGAGCCCCCACATTTTACAATTCACCAAAAAAAGAGGCCTTCAATTGTAATCTGAAATATTCGTAGAATATTCCAATGACAGAGGGCTGTGTACTTCAACTACATGACTATAAATGATGGTGTATGGGGTGCTCGTAATCATCCGCAAATAGGTTCAGCTGCTTTGGAGGTTTTATCCGCACCGCCGAGGAATTCATGCCACAGCGAGCGAGCTGCTAAATTTCTAGAATTCCTCCTTATTAAATCAGCAGCGGTTCAGTTGCTGCACGTGCCATGCTCGATTGTATGGGTTGTTTCGGAAATTCCTGTAGCAAGATGCCCTTCCAGCTGCTCCATTTGATAACGACCCCCAATCAGGAGCCATCGTTCAGGCCTGGTTACCTTCACAGTCTGATGTGAAAATGTCCAAGGAAACGCTCAACAAAGGGGAGTAGGTTGGTAAAGTGGAGCAGCCAGCAAGAGCCAGCTTTATTGAGCTGGAATATTTTGGCTTCCAATAGGGCTTCAGTAGTGGACTGGAGATCTTAGTAAAAAAGGCAGACTCAATCCCTACAGCCTCCCAACTGATGTTCACTCACGGTAGAATTGTCCACGAAGAGTCCACAAAATATAATAAATAAAAAGAAGGACCCTTTTTCTATTATAGCACGTCCGATTTCATATGAATGGAGCTAACTACTATTAGGTTCATGTAGTTATTGAAACTCCCGTAGTAATCGAAACACCTCCGTGATAGTTCTACTATGCATCTTTTATCCTAAAGAAATGAAAAAGTTGTAAACACAGCCAATGCAACGCCCATTATTTTCAGTGTAGTTGCGCCGTGCCTCTGATCACTACAGAACTCAAACATTCTGATGAGCTTCAGTAGCATTCCGAAACAGCTGATGCATCTTTTACAAAAGCTCTTTTTTTTGGACGAAATTTTTCAGGAAATCACGTGTGTTGAATTTCTATAGGAAATCATAATCAGTTGATCAAATCTCGCTAAGCTGAAAACTCGACCTCAAATACTTCGAGAATTAAATTACCTCATCGACTTGACAGGGCTACAAACGGCAAGGTAACGATCCCAACTGAGTACAGTCATGATGAAGGAGCTGAGCAGCTTGCTGATGCTCTCACCGAACCAATACAGCTTGCACATAGCTACTCCGAACAACCACTGCCCTTAATCAGTGGCATTTACAGAATGGCTTTCCCACCGAGAAATAGGAATTGAACCTTTCAATAAGTCGACGACTAGAAACGGCAAGTGCAGTATCACAACCAGGTCGACGAACGACAAGCCTGAAATGAAATTGCTGAATTCTCCCCTTCATCACTCGGTGGAAGAAAGTTGTTCTATTCGGAATGGAGTACCACGATCGTTCTCTGGCTAACTACGTGAGAGCTGGGGAATATGGGGAACTTGACAGCTCAAAAGTAACCGCCCAACCATTCCTTTTCGGACGAGCTGGAGAGTTAGTGGACGCTACAGCATTAAAACCATGCTGAACATTTGTCTATGCTGTGAGCACTTCTACCCTTCCAGTGCTGAACAAAACTATAAGGGCAGTAATCATAAGGTGCAGACTCATCTTTTGTCTCGTACAACATTGCGTTTCATCCCACCACAACGGGCACTCATCGAATCATCAGTTATAAGTTTTTGAAAGATTCAGATGGATGTACAGCACTGCTGGTATAATAGATGGGCCTACAAGTTCGACGTCTTTAGAACTTTTCGTATGTCTGGTAGAGAATAGAGAATAAGGAAGACTAAAAGCAAGGACGATGTTTGGTTGGAAACATTTTCGTTCTGATCATCAGTGTTGTTCACGTTCACGGAGTTTCAAGATTTACTTTCTCCTTTTGTCTTTTTTTTTTGTTTTCTACCATTGTGTGAAGCTAGTTCCCAAAAGTACTCGAGGATGGAGCTGCCCCTGTTTTTGCTTGAAAGCGTGTTTTTTTTAGAGTATACACAGGTAGTCTGCTAATGGGTCAGCCCTCAAGCTACCCTCTATAGGCCTCATGATTTCCAGCTGTACATTTTTGCCTTATACCCAAGAGAATAGCCAGCAGAACGTAAAAAAAAGCCCTGGATTTTGATGGAAGAATAGAATCTTAAGTAACGATAAACGATAGAACAGACCTAGAACATAGATAAACACATGATTGGTGTTTGATAAGCTGTGACGTTTGCCCCGCATTGAAGTCCTTCGCATTGATGTCAACACATTAATTATCATCACTATCACAATCCTGTAAGTAAACATCCATTAAGTCTTAAGCAATGAAAGATTTTCCTCGAAGGCACAGTTCACGTTAGGATTGGGTTCTGAGATTTATCCCTAAGACAAAACTGCGACCTCCAAGAATAGCCTAAATGACGGCTGTCGGATC